GCCAGGGGGTTCTGTTTGTCTTGTTTTGGATTTTGTAGAGTATGGGAGATGCATAAAGATTGTTGTGTCTCTATCTATTTTTACGTCTCTTCAAAATGAAGTAAGAAGACGAATATGATGTTCACCCATATTGTAGCAGCTTGTCCTCCTCCGGAACCACCTCCGCGACAGGAAGGATTTTGTGGAAACATTTTATTCCAACATTATTTCTTCTTTAGTTCGAGTAAGTTTGATAATAATATTTTGATTTTTGAATTACTTTTGATAGACAGGGTTTTGGTCCCGATCATTTTAGGCTTATAATTGCCCGTTTTGTGTCTAGCGAATCAAATTGTTTTGTATGAGATGGTTGATTCCATGTCTATTCCTAAGGCTTTCGATGGATCTGTTGTAACTGTCTGCATGTAGTTTTGTATGTTTTCTTGATACTAATATAAAAGCCGCTCTTTATTTTCAAAAAAAAGTATATGACTTTATAAAATCATTGGTTTTTAACACTCAGACATTGTTGGATGCCCTCAAATCAGATATTGACTATCCAAGTTGATCAAGCCATTCTTAAAATTTTGTAACGGCGTAACGGCACTATCAAGATCGGGTAAGTAGAATTAAAAGTTTAAAATGTGCAAAATGTGAGGTTTCGGTCGAGCCTATACCCAAATAGGATTCCATAATAGATTTTTTTACCAGCCTAACATCTACAAAAGATGTCTGCATAGAGACAATTTTGTCTGTGTAGACAGACAAAAGATACACAAAAAGGTATGCATCAAGCTATTTTTGAGCAGCAATATACTAGTATGTGTTAGACATAAGGAAGTGCGCCTTGTCTAAAAATTATAGGGAATATGAATACTCCGCAATCTACTATATCCTAATCTGGGATGTTAGAGTGATTGATGCTTGCTCAAACTCAAGATTGTCAAGTTGAAATAAACTTAGCAATGAAATTAATTTATGAGCACCTGTATAAGCCTTAGAACAATTGATCAATTCTAGATAAATGCTTGGGGATTCGAAACTTCCCATTTGAGCAAGGACTGATGGTAAGCACTAACCAGTAACCACATCATTGCATCTTAAAACAAAAAACGAAGTCACATGCATTAGATTACGAAGAACGAGGCCAACCAAGAAAAAAAAACTATTTGCTTCTTAGATAACCTTTTTTTAGTGAAGATCAACACAGTTTTGGGTACTGGTGCCTGGTGGTGGTATGTTGCTTAGTAAGTCAAATTGCTCATGAAGTGATGGACTCTCCGTTTAATTCGAGTGCTTCTGAGTTTTGATTGAGTTGTGAATCTTGTCTGATTGTATAATTCTACTATTTCAGTATTTTGTACAGAGTATTAATAGCCTAATATACTTCGTATTTAAGAATCTACCAAATATATTTAGGAATCTAGGATGAAATCCCGGGTCTTAACATGGTATCAAGAGTTCTAGGTTTGTGGATACAATTTTTTCTCTCTTTTTTTTTCGGTTCCCATGAACCCTAGTACAACCGCCGCCGCCTCAGGGTCGACTGCCGCCACATCTACGGTAGTCTTCGATCCTTTGAGGATGAGCGCGACAGATATGGCGCATATCACCTTCTCCGCGTCGCTGACCACGATGCTTGCTTCCAGCGTACCGATGAGTTCGCCGCCTGCTGCTGCCTATGTCCGCGCAGCCACCTTTTTCGCATCGCTGGCCACGGTGCTTGCTTCCAACGCACTGTTGAGTTCACCGCCCGCTGCTACAGACATCCATTATCTAGCCGAGTCCGATTCGACAGCTCGCACATTTGTTCCAGAGTGCTACGCCCTTCCCCCTCTCTCTGGCGACCCTGACATGATCCTATCGTCTTCTGTCAAGCCAGTTGGCCATCGGCCGAGATCCTCTCCGCTGACCACTTCATCCGCTACTCTTGTTCAAGGTACCTTCAGGGGTCTCCAAATTATGGACAATATTTGTTATTTTTCTTGGTCCTAATGTGGTTTTTTGGAAGTCCTAGAAACAACCTACTTGCTCATGGAGAGCTTATTGTCAAATATGTGCCTCCTAATCTTCTGCTGGCAAATACATTTACCAAGAGTTTTTTTAGTTTGCAATTTCATTTTTTTAAAATACAACTGCGCGTTGTATCTTCCGCACAGTTTGAGGGGGTGTAATAGCCTAAAATATTTAGGAATCTACCTAATATATATTTATTCGGCAATTCTTCTATTATAAATATATCTGTCAAGGCTTTTATTGGAGTACTCTTTCCCATTATTTCAGTATATAAAAAAAGGGAAAAATAATAAAAATACCCCAAACTTTGAAGGGGTGTGAGATAAATACTCTAAACTTGCATATGTAATTTACATACCCCAAACTTTATATAAAAGAATATTTTTGATCCTTTATCATGTATTATTTCTTTCAAAAATGTAAATTTATGCGGTTAATTGCATAATTTAAAATAGCAAATTAAAAGTTCTGCAATTATATACATTTGGGGTAACATTATTTATTTCGCTATGGAAATTTAGAATGTTAATTGTGTCTTCATGAGTTCTAAAATATATTAAATTATGCAATTAACACCATAAAATTACTCCCTCCGTCCCGAAATTATCTTCATTCTTTCCTTTTCGATCCGTCTCGAATTTATCTCCTCTTTCCCTTTTTGGTAAAGGATTTGTGGTTCACAACCATTCTTACACATTTCTCTCTCATTTGCACAACTCTCCACCACACATTTCCCACTATCTTAATCCCTGTGCCCAGTCAAAACCGAAGTTAATTATGGACGGAGGTAGTACATTTTTATAAGAAATAATACTTGACTATGGTGCTGAAATAACTTTTTATATAAAGTTTGGGGTATTTAAATTACAAATGCAAGTTTGGGGTGTTCATCTCACACCTATTCAAAGTATGGGGTATTTTATTTATTTTCCCCATAAAAAACAGGCAAAATGGAAACTAATAATCCAACCTTTTAACGGTCTTCTTTCAATAATCCCACTTTTTGATTATTCATGAATAATCCAACCTTTGCACCCCATCTTCATTTGTTGGTCCCTGATCGGTTAATGACCTGGTATTCCAAGTTATTTTCTTATCTTTGCAAAATATTATCTTTGTGAAAGATGAGATTTATGGTATAATGATTTGCAAATATAAGAAAATAGCTTGGAATAGCAGGTCATCAACCGGTCATGGACCGGTGAATGAAGATGAGGTGCAAAGGTTGGATTATTCATGAATAATCAAAAAGTGGGATTATTGAAAGAAGACCGCTAAAAGGTTGGATTATTAGTTTCCATTTTCCCTAAAAAACATGACATTTTATAAAATGAGAAGTCTGTCAATTAATAAAGTATTTGTTTGTCTAATCGTGTCATTTCATCATATTTAATTCGTAATGTTTAATTTTATTTCCGAAGGTTCCAGCAAAGGAAGAAGTTCTTTTATAAGCACTTAACATGAATTGTTAAGGTGTAAAAGTTACTCCTAAAAGTTAAAACCTAGCTACTTACACGGTTATACTAATAATTAGTACGTATGTTTTTACGTAGACATTTCCCATCCCAGATGAGATTAGATCAAACAAAATCGGATCAAACTTGGATAGTAGTAAAATACACAGAGACCAGATATTAACAGATCAGACCAAATCAATTCAGACAAGATTAAATCAGTTCAGATCGTACCATACCAAAAAAATTATTCACTTCAAGTAAAAACGGTATACGATACTCCGTAGTAAAAGTAGGGGACAGCCATAGGGGGGATGGCGGCTTTATTAGGCCCAAAAAATGAAGAACATTTAGGCCCAAATTTAGTTCTTTATAGTAGGAGTGTGAGTACATAGGATGAGTTTTCAGTCCTAAACTAATAATTTATGCGGGTGAAATTTTTCGAGGTGCTTCCTGGTAGATTTTTTATGAAAGTCTAATAACATGAACTTATAAGTATAGGTTATGTCCAAAAAAATCAATTTAAAATTTAATCTATAAGTTAGCTAAATAAATTATTGAATAACGTTACATTTTTATGCATTTTTAGCATAATATTTTTCAAAAATCTATTTCTATGACTTGCTGATTGAATTTTAAACTGAAATTTTGTGAACTTAATCTAAACTTGATGAAAAACATGCTCATAAAATTCATAAAAAATCAACTTGGAAGCAGATTAGTCTGATATGATTATTTAATTAGTTTATAAATTGTTTTCATTCATAGTTAATTGTTTGATTTCTTAATTATTGATTGTTATCCATTAAGTGTTGGTGTTATAATTTATTGATTTTGTCAAACGAAAAATATCAATTATAACAAATTGAAAAATTTAATTAATTTGAAGGTGTAATAAAAATGATTGAATCTGGAATGGATAAATAAAAAAGAGGAAAAGTTAGAGAAAGTGACGCTAAATAAAATTGGTTCAATGAAAACAAATTCTAAATATCCTTAAGATGAAAATTTGGAAAAGTGGAACGATTTAGCTATCGAAAATGAAACGATTCAGAATGATTACGTCATTGGAGATGAGAACTTGGGAGTTGATAATAATAAAGTTAATTCCTTAAATAAGACTAAAACATTAGTAAATTGCACATATATGACCACGAGTGTTTTCTTCCTAAATAAGGTTCAGCAATATTGTAACATTCTTGAATTACATAGAATAATGATTTTACAATTTTTTAAATGTTTTGATTTTTTAAATGGTTATTGTTGTTGTTGTTGTTATGCATGTTAGTTTAGACAAAAAAAAGTTTTACAATTTTTTTAGAATTAGACTCATACTCTTTATAACTTTGTCATCTTTCCTTTTTTGGATGTCTTATTAACTTTGTCACTTTCTCATTTAAGTAAAGAATTTGTAGTTTTATTTAATTGCCTCTCATCTGCACAAACCTCAACCACACATTTTTTACTTTATTAATTTTCATGTCAGTCAATCATGCATGTCCCATCAGATTTAGCAGTTTTTCACAATCATGCATTTATTTGTGTGCAAGTGTGAGTATATATAAACCATCTCCTCTCCTCTCTCAGATTATCCTCCATCCTTTAACAATCCCACAATAAACGCATCTAGTTGAACTGCCTTCCGGTCTAGTCTCCACAGATTGAGACCACAAAATTCGATTGCAGTCGCCCGGAGAGATGGAGCTCAGAGGGGTGTTGCTGGCCACTGTTATGATCTCCGCGTTATCCACTCTGAGTTTCACCGTCGACGCATGCTCGTCGGCGGACCTGGCCGCATTGCTAGACGTCAAGGCTGCTCTGGACGAGCCCTACTTGGGGATACTGAAAACTTGGAGCGGCAGCAATTGCTGCTCCGGCACCTGGTACGGCGTCAGCTGCGACCCGAGCACAAACAGAGTCGCCGACATCACTCTCCGGGGAGAATCCGAGGACAAGATCTTGGTCAAGGCCGGCCGGACCGGGTACATGAAGGGCTCGATCTCTCCTTCCGTCTGCAAGCTCGACGGCCTCAGCACGCTCATTCTGGCGGACTGGAAGGCCGTTTCCGGCGAGATTCCGTCGTGCATCTCCGCACTCCCCAACCTCCGGATTCTAGACCTCGTCGGGAACCAAATCACCGGGCGGATCCCGGCGAACATCGGGCAGCTGAGCCGGCTGACCGTTCTCAACCTCGCCGACAACCAAATCTCCGGCAGCATACCGCCGTCCATCGTCAACCTCGGGAGCCTAAAGCACCTGGACCTCAGCGGCAACAAGCTCTCCGGCGAAATCCCCGCGGATTTCGGGAAACTCCGAATGTTGAGCCGGGCGTTGCTCAACAGAAACCAGCTCACCGGTTCAATCCCGGGCGGGTCGATCGCGAACCTCCGCCGACTCGCGGATCTGGATCTATCGATGAACCAAATATCCGGTCCAATCCCGGCTGAATTGGGATCGATGCCGGTTCTGTCAACGCTGAACCTCGACAGCAACCAACTCAGCGGCGCGATCCCCACCGTGCTGCTGAGTAACTCGGGATTGAACATCCTGAATCTGAGCCGGAACTCGCTGGAAGGAGATTTGCCGGACGTGTTCGGGCAGAAGACATATTTCACGGCTCTGGATCTGTCCCACAACAACCTGCGAGGGAGCGTGCCGAAATCGTTGTCGGCGGCGAAGTACATCGGACACTTGGATCTCAGCAGCAACCACCTCTGCGGCACGATCCCCACCGGTTCCCCCTTCGACCACCTTGAAGCGTCGTCCTTCTCCAACAACGCCTGTTTGTGTGGATCGCCGTTACACACATGTCAGAATTGATGATTTCGTGTAATTAAATGTTTCTTTTATCAGGGTTATTAATTAATTACTGTATTATTTGTGTAATAACTACGAAGTATTTATTAAATACGCACTCCTCCAAAAGAAATTTGTCTTCCAACCAGGTGCTTCACTGTTTCAGGCACTCTCGTTTCTGCCATTATTAATTCTTTAAGATTTGGTAAGAACACAGTATACCATTTCTCGCTCATCAGGAAAATTAAAACACACAATCATAAAATTAAAACACACAAACATATTAAACGAAAAAATTCACCACAAAATAAAAAAAAAAATACGAAATTTTGACCGATAAATTTAATACGGAGTATGTCTAAAAAAGGATCACTATGTATATCACGACTCTAGTAACATGTCCAGTTGGTTCAAATCCGCCAAGAGTGGAATGCATTTTTTCCATGTTATGGGCCTCTTTTCTTGTTGTTATACTTAAATTGGTATTGAAGTTCAATAGTTCAAACCTTGTTTAGACCACGAAGTTGCTGCTTTAAATTAATTGTGCGGTATATTGGCTGGTTATTAGATCAGATCAGCCGTCTGGCGGGTAAACTTTTTTCAGTTTTGCTTTTGCGGGGTGCGATTTGGGCGAATCAATTAGTTGCCCCATGCACGTACGTGAACTGTTTTTTACTTTTGAAGAAACAAAAAGTAAGAGACGGTCGGGTAGTTGCAATTTGAATGGCATGAACAACGGTGCAAAAGGAAATCTTTACATACATGGAGAAATCATGATCTATGTCTAAGAGCAGTGGTGGAAGACCTAGAGGATGGGGCAAGTGCCCGCGCTTCCGATCCAGAAGTTTAATACATAGTACTATTTTACACTATTCACAAGTTCTACTTTGACTACATTTTATTTATTGATGTATTAATATATTTTTTTGAATAAAATATTACTAAATTTGTCTCATCGTAAATTTTCAAAATCTGATTTTTTTAAATTTATTTACTAATAGAGAGTTATATATATTAATGGTCAAAATTGTGCCTCGACGAATGTGAAATGTTGACTGTTGCACTTATTTAAGAACAGAGGAAGTACGAACTAGATGGTATTACTCTGTAGTACTTATAAAACTAGTGCTCCTGGCACTCCTATCCGGATAAAAGTATAACTATTAGATAGGTTAATAATTCCGTCAAAGATCTAGCATATGTCATGAATCAGTTGTTATACCGTATGACCGGTATACGGTGAGCACCGTATACCGGCATACGGTTTTTGGCAAGCATCGTATTTGGCAAGCACCAAATCTTTATTTTTTATTTCTCTTTTTTTAAAAAATGGTAATAACTTTTTTATTTTTGATCCGATTTTTATAAAATTTATACCAACATTTTTAATTTTTCATGATCTTTCAAATGAGACCAATATTGCCTATGTAATTTTAACCTATGTAAAATATGTAATTTTACGTGTAGAAATATGTAACTCACGTCCAGTCAGGCCAAATGTAACTCGTGGGTATAAATATGTAAATCTACGTGTAAAAATATGAAACTTTACTCAAAAAAATATGTAACTCGCGTTCAGACAGGTCAAATGCAACTTGTGTGTATAAATATGTAACTCGCGTGTATAAATATGTAACTTTACGTGTAAAAATATGTAACTCTACGTGTAAATATATGTAACTCGCGTTCACGCAAGTCAAATGCAACTCGTGTGTATATATATGTAACTCGCGTGTAGAAATATGTAACTTTACGTGTAAAAATATGTAACTTCACTTATAAAAATATGTAACTCACATGTATAAATACCTAATACAATAAATTTTTTATATACACAATTTTAAGATAATTTGTGATTTACACAATTATTTTTCTGTATTAAATTTAGTTTGGTTTTCCTTATAATCCAATACACATTAATATAATAGTTCGATAATTTCTTAAAATTACATAAGCAATATTGGTCTCATTTGAAAGATCATGAAAAATAAAAAATGTTGATATAAATTTTATAAAAATCGGATCAAAAATAAAAAAGTTATTACCATTTTTTAAAAATAAAAGGATAAAAAATAAAGAAACCAGGTCTCAATAGTCCGTCGTTTTGAAACCGGGCGCACCATCCTCATGCAGTGGCGGATCCAGGAATAAATGTTGTTGGGGGCACCATTTAAAAGGTGTAGTACAAATAATATTCCAATTTATGTATACTCAATATCAATTTTGAAATCAATCTCATAGTTAATACGAAGTACATTTGTGTATTTGAATATTAAGCTCAATAGACAATATATATACATATATGCATTTATTTATAAAATAAGAACATATTTATGACTAAAGTAAAAGTACTTTACAGAAAATGTGACATCTTAATAACTATAAAAGTAACTTTATTTATAGTAACATATATATGGTCATTTTTTACACTTAAGTAATTATAACATAGTAATGAGTTTTTTTATGGAGTAAGATTGCTCTTGAATCTTATTTCCCATCTAAAAGACTTGAAAAAATATCCTTCATTTAGGAAATATAATGACAAGTAGCCTTAATTGTAACAATAAAAACCAACTCTACATGCATGTCCTCTTAAAACACTTCCATAGTAGTTTTAGTAAAATATGCAAATATAAAATACTCCGTACTAAAAAGAGGAAAGATTACGGGGGTGTTTGGTTAATGGCCTACCAGCTTTTTTTGGCTGATTTGACCACTATTTGGCTTTTTGACCAAATAAACATATAATAGAGGTGTTTGGTTAAGGAGCTTTTTCACTTGGCTTTTTATCTCAAATAGCCAAAATTGGAGAAGTTGAAAAACCTATCGTTTAGGCTTGGCTGTTTGAATATGTACCGTAAATCCCTATTATGTCCGCAATGCTCCCTTCCGTTCATGCTCGTAACTTGGTTGTCTCGTTCATGCTCCATTCCCTATCCAAACAGGCTATTGGCCAATTGTAAACGATCATTTAACCAAACACTATTTTATAAACAACTAACATTATCAGCTAAGCAAAACAGCTAACAGAATCCGTTGTCACCAATCATCCAACATATTCAGCCAACAGCCAACAACCAACGGCCAATTGTCAAACACCCCCACTAAAACAAAGCCCAAGATCGAAAAGGAAGATTTTTTAAGCTCATTAGCTTCTTTTGGATGATCTGCTTGGTGGAGACTGGAACTGTTTTCATTTCTTTAATTTGTAAGTTACCACGTAAGAGCTAAGGCCTGGGGGCACTCTTATTTTTTAATTGGGGGCACTACTTCACTTTCAAATCAGAGTATATGTTATCAACACTAAAATTCAGATTCTTATTGGGGGCATGTGCCCCCATTGAATCCTATGTACGTCCGCCCCTGTCCTCATGGTGCGCCGGTTGCACGATATAATTTGCGGTCATGAATTATTACTCCGTATAACACATTAACACATTTAAACGACTACGGATTTAGGAAGTGGATCGATTTTCATGAACTTAGATATGTTGTTGACTCCTACAATATACGGAGTACAAGTTTAGGATAATATATTTGATAATGAAGAGAATCCTCAGAACGATAATATATTTGCTTTAGCCTCTTCTTCGCACATTTTTCGTCTAATAACTGTTTTCCATGTGAGCCGATCACAAGAGAATGGTCCTTTTATTCTCGTTAGTTGTAAGTTGTAACTCTTAGATTTTAGATTCGCTCAAACTTCAAAAGTGTTATAACTCATTTTTTCATCTCTAATGGTTGAAACTAGAGTTGTAAACTAATCGGGTCGAATAGTGCGATTTTGTATTTGTATTTCTTTAAATTTTGCGAATATGAATTCAAATATGAAATGAATATTATTTTTTATTTGTATTTGTATTGGTTTAACAATACGAATAGTTAACGAATCAAATACGATTTTCGAATCGATTTGATCATAAGTTAAATATTAGTCAAATATCACTTTAAAACAAATTTTCCTACATTTCTTATGTTATAAATGCATGTTATGACTTAATATGTGTTTTAGAATTTAATGTGTAACATTACATTTTTCCTTAAAATTTGATGAATCGATGCATTTTTAGGTTGTGCAAAACAATATACTGAAGTGAATCAATTTTATGATTACTATACATAAATAATTTTCAAAGTTTTTGAAATAAACTCTAACACACACATATTAGAAATTATACATATAATGTGTGAAATAAATTGATAATTGAATATATTCTATACTTTTGAACTTAAATCATAATTTGTGAATCCAAATCACCAATCAATTTAAAATCATTTTGTTTCGTTTGAAACCCTTACTCCTTACTCCTTATGTTACTTCTGATTTATTACAAATTGACTTGGAATTTGTATACCTAAATGTATATATGCGCTACACTTTGAGGTATGGCTAGCTTTTAAAAGTTATTATAGTGTTATTACTATTATTATAACTATTATTAATATTATTATCACTAATATTAATCGAATATATTTGATTAACATTCGAATCTAATATAGTCATGATATTCAATTCCTATTTAGTATTCTTATTTGTATTTGTATATGAATTTTTCGAATACGAATCGTTTTATACGAATTTGAATCGCGAACCGAGTATAAATTATTTGATTCGTTTACAAGTATTTGATTCTCATGAGAGATATTAGACCATTAACTTCATCATTGGCAAAAAGAAATGGCCATGACGGGAACATTTTCAGGTATGTGTATATGAATTTGAGCGAAATTTATATGGAAATAGATCTTAAAATATAAAATAAAAGTAAGCATTTCATGACAAGTTAAATACTGATGAATTAGAACATTTTCGCGATTTTTAAGTTTTTCTTCCAAAGTAAGACAAAATCACAATATTTAGTGTCATGTCGAAGTCATTACTATCAAAATGGTTCATATTACCAACAAGAAAATGCTTAGTTGAAACCGTTTTGTTTAGACCAGGTCAAATTAGATGAAAAGTCCGTTTGGTAGAACGAAAATCGGCCGATTTGGCTGATTCTGCTGAAATTTATGAAGTTCTGGCCGAAGTAGCTGCATTGGTTGATTCTACTGATTTAAGAAAAAATTATATTTGGAAATATATTCTATTAATAAAATAAAGAAAAAAATTATACGAAAAAATGGCTAAAATTGTCAGTAACATCAGCCAATATATCCAGAAAAGTAATCTCAACCTTACTTTTACTGTTTATTACACAATCCAGCGCGC